CTGTTATAGTTCAGTAAAAAATCGAGAACAATACTTATTAAATGCAATTCGTTATTTTGCTTAGTTTTACAATATCTTTCAAACAACCGTCTCACACTTGGACGCAATGTGAAAACAATAGTCACATGCATGCATCGTGTATGTGTGTGTGTGTTTGCAAATCTGGAAGAAGAATGCAGAAAGATGTGTGTTAGTTTACATACACAAAGCAAAAGACACAACACAAATATTTACTTGCTCTAGTTGCTGTGTGGAATTTCACATTGCGAAATACTTTTTTTCTTATTTTTCGCCCACGAACCCAGATTCCTCATTTTGAAGTTGTGCCTGTGGCAAAAGATGCCAAAGGCAAAAATCTTGTTGGGGTGTGCAATGTGAAAGTGATGAGTGTGCTTTATGTACATAAGTTAAAATAAGGCGATAAAATAAGAGTAATCGCAACATTGGGAATGTACATAAGTGATTGCTGAGCGAAGTGTACATATAATATGTATGTAAAAGGCAGTGGTGTGTCGGGTCGTATGAGTAACTCAGCGTTGAAGTAAAAAGCAAACTGTTCCCGTTTCTTTCTGTCTAAGTGTTGATGCTTACTTTTCCAAGTTGTTGTTTTAATGCTGTTGCATAACAAAAAGAAACTATTTAATGACATAGATATGCATATATGTATGTAACTTTTTTCTAATGCCTTTTGTAGACTTACAAAAATTTTAAGCAAACTTGTAAAGTACATACAGCCCGATTTGCTTGAATAGGTACACATATTTTCCTCAAGTTTCAAGCTTAAAATGAGTACGTCTGTCATTAGGATTTCGTTTTAAAGGCTCCTTAAAGCCTCCGTGATAGCTAAAATTTTAGCTTGAAATGCGTTGCAGTAACGGTAACCTAAAAAAGATTTTAACAGCAGAATTTCGTGAGAAAACGTGTTCTCCCACCTGACCGTTGAGTTTTAAGCCACCTTTAAAAACTTAAGTATCTACTAACAGGTGGGGTGTTATTTGTTTACGTTGTCGTGGTCACAAAGCTTCCGGAGGCGACACTTAAGCGCAAAAACTAAAAAAAAGTAAGTGCGCATGGGCAACACTGTAGAAGTGAAACTTACGTTACATATCTACTTTGTGTTATTACCAATATACATACGTACATATGTATATATACATCTACTTTTTCTTAAGGTTATATCTTTGGTATTTTTCTATCTAGATCCCTAACTATACCTCTGTTCGTTCTAATTACATTTATGTTATTCTCTTTTCCTTTATCTTCATTTTTATCTTTATACTCTATCGATAACAAAATCGATAGCAATATCCAACAAAATATCTATATCGATAACAAAATATCTATATCTATAGCAAAATCGATGACAAATTCGATAAAATTTCGATAGCAAAATCGATGACAAATTCGATAAAAATTTCGATAGCAAAATCGATAATAATATTGGTAGCAAAATCGATTAGAAAATCTATAAAAATATCGATAACAAAAATCGATAAATAATCGATAACAAGAATAGATTTAAATTCCGATTACAATATAGATAACAATATCGATAGCAAAATCGACAAAATTATCGATAACAAATTCAAGAAATATACCGATGACAAAATCTACAATAATATCGATAACAAAACCAATAACAATATCGATTATTATTCCGATAAGTTCCGAAGATATCGATAGCAAAATCGATAAAAATTTCCACAACAAAATCGATAAAAATATCGATAACAAAACCGATAAAAATATCGATTATTATATCGATAAGTCCCGAGAATCCCGAAAATCTCTAAAATCCAAAAATAGTTCGCAGATTGAGTCTCTGTGTATATATCTTTGTATATCCTTTTCTCTATAATTACCTTTATTTTAATATTTCTTGTTCTATACTTTTATCGGTATCCTCATCCTCATCTTTTTCTTTACATTTATCGTTGTTTCTACTTTTATGTTTATCATTTTCTTCATCTACATATTCCCCTTCACCATTGCCCTTATATAAGAAAAGTGTTTATATTTACCTTCATTTTTTCCTTTATCTTTACGCATTTTTGTTTTTGTTTTTATTTTTACCTTTGCCTTTATCCTTTTCTTCATCTATGTACGTACTCACCTTTACTTTCATTCTTGTATTGGTCTTTTTCTAAGTGTTATTCTTTAACCTTTTATTAACAAGTTTTTGTTAAATGAATACCATGCGCATACACTCAAGAAGCACTTGTTTCTGTCCCAACCATTACCGTTGCCAATTTCCGTGTCCAATTTCCGTTGAATTTGCCAATTTATTCCTAACCAACCAACCGCTGCTAAAGAAGTTTCACTTAAAAAAAAATTAATTTAATATAAAAGAGTGCCCCTCGTTTACAGCTTGCCACTAGGATGTCTATCTTAAGCGAAGAACAGCGAACCGCGTCATCTACTTGTATTGCCCTACAAAATTCAGCAACATTAAATCCAGAAAGCTTTTAGAGTACCATACGATCACTTCGTACAAGAGAATTGATCTGCTATATGACCGTTATTAAAATGAATCGACAAATTTGGGAATTAACGCCCCTTTTTCTCGCCTATGGCCCTTTTACAAGTACTGTGGGCTAAAGAATCCTTCTCATAGCGCTGAGCTACATACATATATTCTCTTTTTAGTTCGGCTTGTTTTCAAAGATCACGCCTAGAAATTTGGATTTTGTAGCAAAAGATATAACCCAAGCTCAGGTGGAGTAACCCAAGGATTTTATACTTGCTTAAGTTGACGCCTTGGCCACCGCAGTTAGGGTTAGGAACTTATCAAAGGGATCACCAGAGGTCTTCTATGTTTCCGTGTGCCTTGTTTCTGTCTTACACACTCAATTGACTTCCTTACTTACTACCACATAAAGGTTATTTTTACAAAATGCAAAAACAATATACATACATAAATATATGTAAGTAGATAATACTTGCGCCATATATGTATATAAAATTAGATTTCGCTAAAATTTATATTTCGTTACTTGTTTATATTTCTGCCTATGGCTCGCAAAGTATACAAAACCATCAAATACACCAAAGAGTGGACAAAAATTAATAGTTTCTCCAAAGTCATTATATTAAAACTACATAAAAATTAAATTCTTATCAAAGCAGAAATTCAGCAGATGATGTACAGCTTTATCCTTTCGGTCAAAAACAAAAATTTCCCATAGTTAACAAATCGTTATAAGCGTCGATTGACGGCGCACTTTGTGAGCGGTAAATATGTGTGTATGCGTGGATGTGCGTATGCTTGCAAATATAATTCACTAACTTTGGTGGTAGCACATGTACTTGCGCTCAGCTGCCTATGGACTAGCCAAAATAAAAAAAAAATCTGTCTAAACAAAAACTTTTAGCATGCTTTTTAAATATATATATATTTTTTTGATATCTAATGTAGAATTAAGAAGCTTCCCTGGCGGTCAACTGAAAGTTATTGGACATGCACAAAGTAGCTGGGTAAATAAATTTATAAATTTCAACTTTTCGGCTCTAATACGCTCTGTGTGTAGAACATTCCAGAACTTTTGTGAATGCGGGAGAGCGCAAAGGAGAATTCCTGTTTTTAACACTAGAAAGGCTGAAAAACCGGCATACCTTGAAAAACGAACAGGGTTAATTTGACCCAACTTCTTTAAAATTACTTTTAGTAACAAAAAAATTATAATTTTAAATTGAAAACTTTTTATGCATTTTAAAAATAATATACAATTTTATTTTCTTATTTTAGTAACAAAAAAATCGAAGTTTTTTTAATTTTCAAAGTAATCGAAATTTTTAATTTACATGAATTTATCGAGTTATCAGTATTTATCGCTTTATCGAATTTTATTGAGTTTCCGGGGTTATAAGGTTTATGAAGCTATCGATATATTTCAGATTATATTCAGTTATCAAAATTTCTAGATACACTTAAATTTCGAAATGCGCCAGTAGTTATCGGGTTATTAAAATTTATCGAACTAACGAAATTTATCTAGTTAATGAAGTTTAATTGTATATGATATTTATTGAGGAATCAATATTTATCGCCTGATCAATATTTATTGTTATGGAAGTTTATCGAGCAATCGTGATGTATCAAGTTCCAGTTTCAAAATTATCGAGTATATCGGGTAATCGAAATTTTTAATTTACACGAATTTATCAAGTTATCAGTATTTATCGAGCACCCAGAAAGTTATCGAAATTTATTAATAGATATGGAAATTCATGGAGCTAGACAAGTTGAGTTATCGAAATTTGGAAATACTCAGTTATCTAAATTGATCGATAGTTATCGAAGTTAGTATATTTATCGAATGCTATCGAGTTATCGAAATTTAGTGATTTTGAAATACATTGAGATATAAATACGTATCATATTTAGATATCTAATTTCATATAGTTTTTCAAATTTGTACTGTTATCGAGAATTTCCCAGTTCCCGGAATACCCTAATTGAAAATTTTGTTAAATCATAGTCTAAAGCTCCGCATTCCATCATTTGACTTTAACGCGCAATATGAGTGCCCCTCACATGAAGTTGAACTTGTAGAGTTTCTTGCATCACTTGGTAATGGAATATGCCAACTTCTCGTGAAATACTGAAAATGATGATATTATGATATTATGTTATTATATTATTATTATTATGCTCGGGAGCACAACAATTATCCCATTGAATTTTTGAACAATTTAACTGTCAGCGGAATATTTTGCTGTTTTCGTTCCAGCGTACGCTGTTTCCAATCATACTGCCAGTAGACTTCGTTTGTTTAATTATGTGCCCTGTAACTTAACCGACCTGCTATGTTTGAAAACGTTCCAGGCCTATAAAAAAAAAACTAGATAAACGGTCGAATTTCTACAGTAACCGGCACTACTAGTTAAACATATTTTCCAATAGGTTCAAATTACCCCCTTATCCGCCTTTCTCGGTGGNTAATACCACCTCGAAAACTATCTTCTTCTACTAAATTTGATTTTACTGAAGAACAGTTAACTGTAAATATTAACAACTAAATCCCAAATAAAGCGAAAGAAGAATAAAATTGTATACATCCGATTTATTCTAAGAATGTTAAATGTTCTTCTTTTATTTTTGTTTATTATGTGGGTAGTTTAGTGCCAACTTAGTTCAATTTTATTTTATTTACTCCCTGCTACTTATCATATAAACTTTAACTTTAACTTCGGCTTGTTGGTAGCGTCAAGTTTTGTTTTTATTCTATAGTGGCTCAGATTGGGTGTGGTTGATACCGACAATGCTGGTCTGGTCAGTTTTGGTGCTGCTTTTATTTACTGCCGTCGATGGTTGCTGCTATTTTGCTGCTACTTTGCATCTGTTTTTTTTTTACTTCTCTTTCCATTGCCCTGTATTTTGATGGAAAATTGCATTATTTATTAGTCGAGAGAGCGCAAAGGAGTGCAACTGAGGGCAGTGCTTCGAATTTACTTTAATGAAGCGCCATAAACTCAATTATTTAAGTATTATATTTTAAAGCACAAAGCGTCGGCTAGATCGTCCTTGCTGCGCAGCAACAAAAATCGTTATTTTAATAAGCACTCAAATTGTTTATTATCAAAAGCAAAATTTTTGGTAAAGTGTCCTTATTTTATATTATTGGATTTGAAAGCTTCTGGGTAATTGAGCAGCAGCTATTTGAGAGCTTTTGGTAATCAGCTTACGCATGGAAATATAGTTGAAATATATAAGTAGTAGAGAGCACAGTTGGGGTTTCATTTTTATGTGGATGTTCAATAATAAATAAATAATATTTTGGCGCTTACACTTTTGTTAAGAGTTTTGCCGAGCTTCTTCTCCAATTTGTGGCGTGCACTTAGATATTGCTACATAAATGGAGGGATCACAGTTCTAAGGCACTTCCCATTGCCAAATGGAATTTTAAGAGACACTTTTTCAAGGCACTAGGTTCGCCAGTGTCCGCCGAGGAGAAAAAAAACATTTTATAATTTAGCTGTTGCTACTTAGAACCAGGAATCGAAACCAGGCCCCATGGAATGGTAGTATCCATCTCTAGCCACTCAGCCACCGTGGCTACGGAGAGTGCATTTACAACTGCTTAATTTTCATTTCGAAGCGAATTTAGTGACTGCGTTTTATTTTAAAAGTTGTGCTTATAGAAATAATAAGATAATAGGAAAACTAAGGCGAATACGAATACGAAAACCAATGTAAAGCTGAGAATAAATGCGATGCGAAGATAAATCCGAATACAAAAACTAAAACGAGGACGAACCGAGGACGAATACGAATACAAGAATAAAAGAACATGAATAATAAACCGAAAAAGAGGTTCCAATGTGACCATATGTCATCCCCATGGATTATGCCCCGTCATGAGTCCTATCAGGGATCGTAGATCGCTCCTTCTTTAGCAGTGAAGAAATTTTGCTACCACCATGACAGGCCTTACAACTACTTTTTGATCCCATAAATATTTTTTTTTATGAATACATGCAAAGATACCGGTCTTTCCTCTCACTTAGTTATTCACAGTTATTAGCCGCTGGCCAAGAAAAGATAACAAACAATTTAGTGGGTTTCTGAATTTGATAACGCCTCTTAGTCCTTGTTAAAGAAACAAATAAATATCGAAATATTTTTATAGAAAGTGGCTTTAGAGAAGATAAATGAGACGACTTCATTAGAAAGCCATAAAGCAGGGGAATTGGACATTGAAATTGAGCAGAGGTGGAGCAACTGTGCACACCGAGCTTCAGCCAGAAATGAAAATGAAAATGCGTGTTTCCAATGTTCAATTTGAATCAAATTTCATAAAATTTTTCAAACTCATTTCATTGAAAATTTGTTTAAAAAATATGTTTTCTGTTCAAAAGTTCTAGATTGCCAAAAATGAGTCTGCCTGAAAAATATTTGGCTACTTTTTTTTTAGTATTAAAAGCCGGTCGAATTTCGGCAGTAACTGGGACTCCTCTTGCCGGTTTCACTAGAAATTTAAGTGAAAATTTCTATTAATTTGTTATTTTCAGANTTTTTTTGGAAGAGAGAGAAACTTTCTTACATAAATAATTTATTTTCTACAAATTATTTACACAAGTAATTTTTAAAATACACTCCACATGCATACCTTCAGACATATAAATACATACATACATTCTAGGCATTTATAAATCATACAGTCGCATAAAATTCCCAAGTTGCATATAAAATCTCACTCAAGGCATTTTTCAGCGCAAAAGTATGCTACGAAAAAACTTTGCCCACAGCTAAGCTGCGATTTATGAGTCCCAGTTAGGCTCGGTATGGGCATGGGCGTGAGTGTAGGCGGGGCGCGTATGTATGTAGGTTTGCCATTGCATACTAGGGTGTGTGTGTGTTTGTGTTTCTTTCTGTGTATACATTTTTACTTGGACAATTTGTAAACAATGCAAAAAGTGCGCCTGCAGGCGACTGCTATTTTATAAAGTCTCAAATACCAACATTGAAGTGGCCTCATTTTTTTAGCACAAAATACAGAAATGCATACATATATATATATATGTGTAAATGTAGTATGTAAGAGTACAAATGAAAATATAAAAAACGTTGAAATGCAGTTAAAAGTAAAAAGAAAGCAGAAAAAAATTAAAAAATAAATAAAATCATAAAACGTAGCGCGAATGCAGTCAACAAAGAAATAAAAAAAAAGTTGTCTGCACCTACTTTCTAGGCCACAACACAGTCAACCGCATTGTCGGAAGCAAAACAGTGGTGCCACTGCTGCGATTTTACTGTCGCATTTTTATTTTCGTACTCGTAATTTCGCTATGTATTTCGTACAGAATTTCTCGCGCTGCCAAAGTGCATCTTTTCTGCTGCGTTTTATTTACATTTTTTTTTTAAATTTTTGTATTTTCTTTGTTAAGTTCGCAGTGCCTCGAAACGTATTACGCACACACACACACACACACATAATACTTAGTAACTATATATATAGATACATATGTATGCAGTTGCTATTTTGTATAGATCTTCAAGCACAAATAAATGTACCTACATACATACATATATGGATGTACTATTTCAATGCAACTCATCCCGCCGTCATTTATGATTTTTTATTGCCGCATATTTTTTATGCAGCACCTACACCTATTTGTATCCTACTCCGCTACTTTTATTTGTGCTCGTAACTTTTTTTTTGTATGCAATTTTATATATTGTTTAATACCAACGTAGACTTATCTTATTGTTGTTGTTGATGCTGATGAGTATCTTCATTTTATTTATATTTTTTTATTTTTATTTTTTTTCCTTTATTTGCAGACAAACCCATTTGCCGTCCGGATCAGAAGAAAATCTACGGTGTAGCGCGTAATGAGGCCGCTGAGATTTTATGTGAGGTTGATGCATTTCCACCGCCGGAAAACTTCAAATGGTCCTTCAATAACACAGCAGAGACATTTGATATGCCGCAAAGTGGTTTCCGTGCACATTCAGCGCAGGGATCGACATTGACCTACACGCCGGTCAAGGTGAGTGCACATACCCGTACATACATATGTACATGTGTACATGTGTATATCTATCTCCACAAACCTACTTATTTATAATTATATCCACACATGATGGTAAATACTATTCATATGTCGACTCATGCTTATTTTATTTATGTATCTAAGCATAATGCTCACGTGATTTATAAAAGAGTATGTATATATATATGATTGCATTCATATATTCTGCAGTAATGTTGGGCAAACTTTTACGAGTATTTCTACATGTAAGTGACCTTAGTAACTCTGCAGCTGAAGCGTGTGACCCACTGAGTTGCGTTTTGTTTTTAAATGGAGGACGACATGCCTGCGTAAATACATATGTACATACATAAAAGCATATATATGTATGTATGTACATTACAGTTATACACGTTACTTATGAAAGCTTTAAGTGAAAAGAGTAAGTGCTTGGCATAAATCGGAAAGGAAAATCAATTAAATGTTGCAAGAATATGTCAATAGAAGCTATGAATAGAAGATTTCGAAATAAAAAAAAAATAGATCTTTGAATTAATTTAATGGACCAACGACCAAGCATATATCACACCTAATTCCCTCAAAGGCGAGGCAGAAGCACAAAAAGCATTCCCACCTTCTAATCCTCTTCAAGGCAAGATGGGCAAATCGAGTTGTCATGCACGCCTGTAAAAGTCAAGTGTTAGTCTCACGTAAAGTGTCCAGTCAGCAGCCCAACAAGTTTTCTGCTGTCCCGTTGCTCAGTGAGAGCAAAAAACTAGATAGACCTTCTGAGATTTAAGGCAATATGAATATGAATTTTCCGACCTGCACCCTCGATGCCACCCAGTCATTGGAATTTGGCTTCGTTGGTCGAAGGTGGGAGTTCTATAACTGGCTGCGGACTGAGGAATGTCTGAGCCTCAGAGACTCAACATTATAGAATCTCTTCAACAAAGGTAATGGTGGCGCACTATCATCCAGCATTGAAGAGACACAAGCATGGGCGTAAGCCAGGTAGGGGCGGGGGGGTGCTCTAGCCCCACCCTAACTTTCAAATTTTCCTTATATATATATATAATAGTACCCTGAAATGCCAGCTTAATAGGGTCGAAATATAAGGACCTATAGAATATTAAGACCCATAGAAACTTAGCTTCAAAATCCTTACTCCTTTGACTTTTCAATCCAAGTGTTCAAAGACAGCTTTTTTAAATCTTTAGAATTCCTCTTGCTGGCTTTATAAATTATTTTTAATAGTTGTAAATTAGTCGTGTACTCTTTTAGTCTGTAACGTTATAATAAAACCATAGACTAAATAAATAAATAAATTAATAAATAAATAAATACAACTCTGACAAATCATGCGCGCAAGTTGATTTCGGTTTATCAAACGTGAAAAACTTGCATGCGTGCGTTGCGTGCCGCGGCGGTAATATTAGACTGAGCTGAAAGCAAGCGAGTCTGGCGTCTGTGGAAGTCGAGTGGTGAGGGTTCGAACAATAGCCAACGAATTTTAATTTTTATGTATTTTATTTATATACATATTTTATTCTACGTTATTTAGTTATCTTTTGTTTTATTTTATTAATATTTTTTTTTTATTATTAGTCAATTAAAATTTTTGGATTTAATTTTATTAAAAAAGTCCACAACAACTGTAATTACATTGAAACGATTATAACTGAATGAATTAAAAAAAAAAATAAAAAATTGACTGACCTTGTGGCTCGATCCCACGACCACTCGTTAATCTATTAGGATACAATTTTGATCAGATGAAATGCACCGTTAATCCGAACCAACGTTGCCGTCTGTCTAAGCTGTAATGCGTGTACTCGACGCTCCGTACTTCCAAATGTCCATATGTTATTGTTGCTGTTGTAATAGCATACAAATACCAAGAGTTTTTGGGGAGTGATGCTGGGTCGTTCCGGTTACGTAGAACTGCCTGCCGTGGGAACGCCCATATAACATATTTGTCCATTGTGGGTGCTGCCTGTGAGTGATTTCTACGAGGACGAACATGCATATCCCAATCATGGGTTCCGTTGCAAAGTGAAAGGAAAGAACAATCAACGCAGTAGTCTGCTGAAACATTTCCTATACCAAATGAAATTGTGGAGCTCGAAGTCTTATAATTTTGCTATCTCTGCCCGACTGGTGAAAAAACGTAACCCCAGGTGTTTGAGCTGCTCCAACTGCAAGCCTGCATATTAACAGAGAACAATTAATTAATTCCTCCTCATTGTCATTGTGGTATTCGTCATTGTTGGAGCATAGTTTTTCATTAATTTAATTTAATTTAATTATAACACTTGATTGTCCATTGAGTAAACGTAAATATTTAGTTTAAAAAATTTTATATTTTTTTCAGTTTAAAAATAAATTCAATTGCTTATACATAGCTTTTTCGCCAATGACGTTTTTCTATTCTAGTGTATTTAGGAATTCAAAGAAAGCCCAAACAATTTATCTCCATAAATAGCAGCTAGAAAATCCAAAAATATTCTGAGCCTCAAGCTTTCTTTCTGGTCACTGTAAAGTATTAAAGCGTTTGTCAAACTTGGTTGTAGCGCATTTTCATAGTTTGTGACAAAAGGAAAAGAAAAATCAGCTTTTGTGAATATCTTAGCTAGTTTTTAATATACCGAGTGTCACTACGCTAAAAGACTTTGAGAATTTCCACAAAACTACAGGAATCGGTAAGCACCTGAAAACAAGTTGCGGTGTGGGCTCAGTGACTAGGTTATTTGCTTTCGACTCATCGAATTTTGTTGCCCTAGACTATTTTCTACATAAATAACACTGGTCTACAAATTTCAACTTTTTTTCTGCGAATAAGACGGGACCTGGTGTTTCTGAACGGATTTTTCGTGCTGAACACGAATCCGGGG